AGTGAGAGAGAGAGAGAGAGAGAGAGAGAGAGAGAATAGAGAGGAGAGGAGCCACAGCCTCCTCTCAGTCATCAATCACATATTTCCACTCCTTCATAAATCCTATTTACGACAGTCTATTTGTCAATATAAATAAAGGTATTTGATATAAAAAAAAACAACAGCAACAACAACAACAACAACAACAAACAAACAAACATAAGAAATCACTTTTTAGCACAACACCAACCAGTACCCGATGGCAGCAAAGTGATATGTGTTCTATAAAATGACCACTAGATGTCAGTATAAGTCTCAGTTCAAAGTGCCGACTAAAATAAATAAAAATCTAATACCTTAGGTTTAACTTTGAAAACAACTTTAAGAGAAAATAGTAGTTGATGTCACCTTTAAGAGATGAGTCATAGTTTTGTGGCCTTAGACCTGTTGATAAGAACAGTAGGCTATATAACTGGTTACGTATGCATGTTGTTTTTTTAGTCTTGTCTTTTTGAGTATAAACTTTAGAAACGGTGCACGAGAAGGGTCCCGCCTCTTTGGCATCCATAAGGAAACACCAGCCAACCAAGCACGGAGGCTTTAAAGCCTCTCCGGGCATGACCAACAGAGAGCATTACCCCTGCGTTTAGACACCGTTTTTTTGTCGGAAGTCAGTTGGATGGAGCAGCTGATGGGCGGGGGCGGTCCACGGGAGCGGTGAAGCGTCTTAGTGAGTGACAGTGTGGAAAAGAAATATGAGAGGAGAGTCTTAAGTTAGGAATAACTGGTCTGTGGCATTTAAAACAAAAAATTGTAGCTCGGGCTTATCTTAGAGGTATAGATCCGCGTTGCAGTGATAAAAAAAAAATCCGCAGCTCATCGAAATGCGGAACAGAAGAAAGTTGAAAATGCCTTAACCAACTACGTCGGGTAGTCCTCTCTGGTTTGAGTGCAATCATGTAGTCTCGTCCTTTAGCCGATGCGACGAGAAACACTTTGGAGAGTAGCTTGTAGTTTGTGGTGAACTCCATCTGGCCGCAGAAGCAGGACGCAGGTTTAATTTGCGCTCTTGGTTCCGTCCGCGCCGTATGCAGCTCCTGCCACTCTATCCAACCATGGCACGACTGAGGAGGAAAGCGTGCATAGCTCTGTTTCTTTTCACGCTGTTCATCTTTGGGACCATGATGGGACTGAGGACCCTGAAGCCCAGTGACGGTTTCTCGGACTTGGCTCCGGGCTTGGAGCTCCTGCCGATGATCGGAGGAAAGATGGACCGGCGCTCAGTGTCCCGTGATGGGACCGCTTCCCCGGGTCAAGCCCGTCCGCCTGGCAGCAACGCCAAAGCCGTGTTGTCTAACACCGGCCCCGAGGGGACCATATTTTACGATGTTCATATTTTCTACTATATGTGGTACGGCAACCCACATATGGACGGTAAATACATTCACTGGGATCACATCCTAGTCCCGCACTGGGACCCTAAGATCGCATCCAGCTACCCGAGAGGGAAACACATGCCGCCCGAGGATATCGGCTCCAGTTTCTACCCCGAACTCAATCCGTACAGCTCGCGGGATCCGGATGTGTTGGAGTCCCACATGGAGCAGATCGGAGCATCCGCAGCAGGTACTGTAAAAAAAATGCAAACCGGCACCCTGAAATTCTCGGAGAGACGCACAAAAAAGAGCTGAGTGTTGTTATTTGTGCACAGCAGCTTTACAGAAATGTGGCTTCTGTAAGCACAAAGCTGCCTCCCTTTTGCTGAAGGGGCTCGACACATTTTTCAGCACCACACATATACTGGACAGCTCCCCACACACTTGGTTCCCAAATATCTGCTGCTGCGCTTTCATCCTTCATTAGGTGTACACCAGAAGCAAACTCATGTTTTTAAAGATGTTTAGCTATCTATATTAAAACTGAACCTTATACTACTTTAGTATTAAAGCATCACCAAGCCCCAAAGTATCTCTGCAAGTACCTTTATCTCTTTAAAATGTCATGAACTGATAATAGTTGTGTTGCAGTCTCATCAAAGACTTGTATGGTTCCCTTAAATTCAGTACAAGTTTGTTCCCTGGTGTCAAGTAACAGCGCCGTGTGTCAGCCATCAGCAGCCAACACATGATAGGCCCTGTTGTATCTGTCCTGCGGTGCAGTAGGTTACTGTACACCGGCTTGAGTGATGAGAAGGCCATCTAACCCTGAAACCTGGGAATCATGGGAGGTCCAGCTCAAAGTTGCTTAGTTAAAACCTTCCATTTAATTAGAGACCTCATACTCAACTGTAAATAGATCTGCTTGACTTGGTGACTGATTTCCTGCCACTAAAATGAATAGCAGTAGCCGTCTTCTTGATACACAAAGACATGTTTGGCTATTGTAATCTAATAGTCTCCACAGCTCCACAGCAAGTGGACATGAGTTTAATAAATTAGTTGTGAGTGCATATACAGTGTGCCAGTTCCTACCTCTTGCCAGGCACCGCTGTGGCTGATAGAAAACCATTTTTCAGCCAGCGTGAGTTTATGAATTTATGAGCTGTCACACACTCAAACTGTTGCCACTAAAACAAGGCATAATAAATAGTCCTAAGATGACAAGTACATATTCATTTAAAAAATTAACTGTCCTCCATAGATCAGCGGATGTACTGTATTGCTGTGAACCACAAAGAGACACTAAAGGATGATCGCAGAGAAAGCAACATTACTCCAAGACAACAATAACTGCACATAAACACAGTTAGCTTGAAATCGATGCATCATTTCAGCAATCCATACAATAATATTGTTAGAGCTTCATATACATTTTGTTTGTATGTTCCCATCAGAAGGTGATGGTGCTCTGAGGTGTTAATTCGTATCTTTGATCAACTGCTTATCTCCCTCTAGGTGTTCTGGTCCTGTCCTGGTATCCTCCTGGAGTAGCCGATGACAACGGGGAACCTGCTGAGGATTTGGTACCAGCTGTACTGGATGCAGCATATAGACACAACCTCAAGGTAAGCAGTGTCAGCACATTTTATGTGTGCGTGTGTGTGTGTGTGTGTGCGTGCGTGTGTGTGCGTGCGTGTGTGTGTGAGAGAGAGATGTTTCTTAGATGAATCATCGATTTTAAACATTAACTTTTTTTCTCTTTCCTCTTCATTGACCTTTATTGAAACTCTAAAAGACAGAACAATAAAGAGGAAATCAGATAGCACACTATATAACAATACTGCCAAAGTATAACTAAAGTAAGCTCAGCTCATATAGAAATACAACAGAGTTTACAGTAGTTTTGAACTCTGTTAGAGAAATTAGATTTATGAAATTCATTCTAACTTTAGGACTCTAACTTCCTGGAAAACAAACCAGTGACTTTGTCATTTCTGTCACTCAGCAGCTATTCTGCATGTCCTTTAAGAAACACAGGAGATGCATCTCTAGAGATTTCATTTGACCAAATCACTTACAGAGGAGATTTTTAACCTGAATAGGGCATTTTTGTGGTTAGATAAAGACTATAACAAAAAGAAAATATATATATGGCCATAATTTTCCCCAGTTTGTTATGATTGGAAAAACATATATTCAGTTACCAACAGACTGCCTCTCAAAAGGAAAGCATAGTGTCAATTTAGTACTACTACACAACAGTAGCCACTGCCCAACATGCATGGATACTGTGCTGATGGATTAATGTACAGCAAATCACCACGATAAAGAATCTAGGCCAGATGGCAGCAGCTAGGCTTCTCCTAATTCCTAACAGCTGTAACAGTGTCCAAAGTATCTTAAGAATTCCTCATATCTATTATTTACACTTAGAAATAGTTGAGATGATGGTTGCAAAGTGTATATGGCAGAATATGTCCATAATTACACAACACTTTATCATCTGCATATTTGTATTTTCTCTGAATGTGCTACACTTGAATTATTTGCATAAGAGGACCAAACTCAGATCCCTGAAATACTCCACTGAGAACAACGAGCCATATTGAATTGTGTCTGTGGAGTTTCACTCTGCAGTATGGATTAAACACTCAAAATTATCTACATGACATTAAGTGCTACGTAGACAGTCGTTAGTATGTGCAGGCTTGCTTACAGTCTTTCATAGTGGCTCATTGTGTTGGCTTTTGTGGGTTCAAAAGAGAAGTCCTTACAATTGATGATTTCTATGAGCAAAACAGACCTAAAGTAACTCAGCTATTTTTTATTTTGTTATTTTTATTTCGAACTGTTGCAAGAGCCAAAGTTGAGGCTCAAATGTGAAAAAAATTGGAATTTCTGTCCACTACTCTTTCTAAAACCTCAGTGACACGGGACCAAAAAGAAGGATTACTGGTCTTTCACGGAGGCATATGAAGAGCTTAACACTGCTTAGGATAGTAATCTCGAACCAGTGTTATATGTTGAATTTGTGGGTGCTAAGGCCTTCTCAACTTGCCGTGCTGCATCCTGTAAAGCTGCTCACTGCTACTCAGGATTTGACTCGGAATACTTGCAGCTGCAGTGACTTCATCTCTAGCATTAAAGCATAAAATGTGTCAAAAAGCTGCTGCTGTTGCCGCTGGATTAGTTGTTGAATGAACTCTTGAACACATTAGTGGGGTGGAGAGCCGTGGGAGGCGGTGCAGAATGTGGGTAAAACCACATGACCAATTGCCAATTAGGTTGGAAAATGACAGCGGACATAGCTGAGTCTGTGTTGGTGCCCCTGCTGCACTGTATTGAAGGCTTATTAAAGTTTTACAGCCAGTGTTTGCTTGTAATCAGATATGATTCGTGTCAGATGCTTACCAAATACGAATGGAAGGATTGGGCGAAGAAAGACAATGAAAGGGAACGAGAGTGAGGTGCTAGCAGTACGGGATTTTCAGCAGCACTGTGGATCGGAACAAGGAACTAGAAATAAATTAAGAAAGTTCTCAGGTCTGTATGCTCTAATGTGAAGAATAACAATGACTTAAGGGCCAAGATCTGAGGACTTTTCCCATGTTAAAGCAGGTGCCATTAATAATACACCACTGCATTTGTACATCTAATTTATTAATTTAATCATCTTAATAATTACCGAACATTTTCTAATATCAGCCTCTAAATATGACATTTTGTTGCTCTTTTTTAATATATGTAATTTATAATCAAATATTTTTATAATTGAAAATTTTTACAGTTTAAAAATGACAAATATGTACACATGTAATAATATTTCCGTGAGCCTCTTGAAGTATATTTACCTTTAAATGCACAAGACCAAAAATCATTATTCACAAGTTGTATTTACAATTTGCAAAAGTTATCACCGAGGTTAATTACAAATCAGTATTGCAACACAAGTCATTACCATGCTGGTGTTTGTATTCTGTTGTGCAGATAACATAATTTGATTTCAGCAGAGATGTGGCCACAAACTGGCCTCATTCTCACTATAAACAACTCCGATGAGAGGCAGAAGAGTTGTCAGGCTAGCCTGTCAGATTTAATATCATACTGGGGAGTTTTTTCTGTTTGGTTGAAGGCAACGAAATAATGCATCTCTACAAGGGCAAGACAAGAATGCAGGGATTAGACATGCATGGCTGAGTTGATGAGGTTTTACACATAATGCTGTCAGTAGAGAAGCTAATAGACAGAATTTAATGCCACGCTTTATTGTCATCATCCAACCAGCAAGCATGGCATTTTCATAAAAGCATGCGTGGAAAAACAGATTGTGACACGCTTTCTTCAAACAGTATCTTACTGAAATAAGAACGAGCTACTTATCCTTGTGTTTAATGAAAACGCGCAGAAGGTCACAATCAGAGCAGTCTCCAGAAAGCGCTGGAATGAAATTATTCAGAGTTGAGCGGAGTCTTTCCAAGCATCCTCTTCCAATTCTTCTTGTTTTTCCTGAACTGTTATGTCTGCACAGAGCTACATTCATCTTTGGATTGCATCCTCTTGCATAATGTTTAGCAAAATGCTGACAAGGTAAAGAACTTTGGCTCTGATAATTTGGAACTCTGATGAAAAACAACCTTAAATCATTTCTGTGCTCTTTTCCACTGAAAGGCGGGACAAAAGGTGGGAGGGAAGCCCAAGTGAGGAGGATGGATGGTCCCACAGAGGGCAGAGGCAGCAGCCAAAAAAGTATCAGATCAGGATTCAAGAAGCGCACATAAAGTGGCTGCTGGCTTATCTGAGAAATGCATGAGTGAATTAGCAGTTTTGTTTTGAGTCCTCACCACCTTGGATAGTCTACTGTATGATATCAGAAAAATACATTCATTAAAAAAAGACAAAAAAATATCACAAAGGGAGGAACCTCCAGGAGTAATGAGCTATCAATATTAATGATGCGTACCTTGGTTTCCACCTTTGTCCTTTCTTGACCTGAGCTGTCTTGCATGTTGCAGCAGCAATCCTCCAAACTGAGGAGGAGTCTGACACTCGTAACTGATGAATATGAAATTAACTTTCCAAGATTTTCATGGACAGACTAACCCATTAGGGGACACTTAGTCATAACCTTTAAGTATTCAGTAGCAAATAATAAACAAAAAACAAAATATAAAATCAGAGAAGCAGGAACCATTTTTGCCTTAAAAATAATATGACACATACATTTTAAAATTAAGAAATTATTGAAAAAACATGCTTTTTTAATCAAAGAAGTGTTTGCATTCAGACATTTAAACATGCAGTAAAATTATCAATAAAAATAAAAAACAAGGAAAATGCTACAAATGACCAGTGACATGATCTGTCTCCATGACAGCAGGATGTAATGCTGTAAAGCTGACAACGCATTTATATGAACCCAAAGTGATAGATGGAGGTTTAGATAAGAGGAATACAGTGAATTGCATACAGCTTTTGACCTAATTGAACATTTACAAGTTAGACTGAAGGTGAATGGAAACTGGAGAAGAGCAAGCTCACTAAAAACAAATCCAGCTTCCATCCTGGTAGCGATCCCACGCCACATTGCTAAAAACACACTGACCCCTCTTCGAGTAATGCTGCAAAAGAAAGCAATGTACTTTTTATTATATAAGTTGAATAGCATCTCAGTAGCACCCACACACGGCTCATGTTGGAGAGCACATCACATGAGCCTCCACAGCAGTGCTGCTGCTTGACCTCAGCTCGAAGTGGAGCTGAAATAGTCCTTTTGCCCAGGGCAGGGTGGGGGCGGCTTGGTGGGGACAGGGTAGGGGGGTTATTGGAAACTGGAGGTAGGAGAAAAAGAGCAGAGGGGATATGTGCATCATGGGTCCCATGACTCAGTTTGAGCCTGTGAACAATCTGCACCCTGAGGGGGTGCAAAAGTTCTATCTCCTAAGTAGGCCATAAAGCTACACAGGGGAATATGGCCCATGGGTGCCCTATGATGGCATCAGCCACACTTCCTTATTTCCCGATGCACTCAGTAGCTACATTTTTTCGTACATGAAACCTGTACAACCTCGGTGTATATCCACCGACTTCACTCACTCTAGAATGAAAGTGATATTAAATTGATCTAACTGTCAGAAAAGGTCTGAACCTATATTTTTGTGTTGGTGCTCATCCTTCCCTCTGCGCTTTCTGCATGACATGCCACTAAATTCACTCTGCTCAGCACAAATCACACCGAGGCTGTTCCAGACTGCACTGTCAATGTTTATGAGGTATTAAAATGCGTTGGCTATGTCTCATTTACTTCTAAATTACCAAAATTGTAATCAGCCAGCGCGTTGGGGAAAATGAGTTTTCTAGTGGCCTGCACTCTGATGAAGTATCTATTTTCCTCTGTTATAATCATGTTATAATCATGCAGCTTCACGAGCTGTAATATCTCATAGATTTTTTTGTGGCTTTATCTTACTGTACTATCTTATTGTCTCCATCATTTTCTCCCACTGTTACTGCCAGAGAGTTAGCTTCATAAATATTGATTTTAGAATATGATTTACTCATATGCCCAAGACCTTCCTCCCTCAATCTCTTTTCAAATTACTCTTTTGCAAAACAAAGTGCCTCTTACACTGTTAAAATTGACATTTTTTTTGTACATAAAAGCACTTAGTATCATTATTAGTAGCAGAAGTGATCCAGTTATTTGGATCCATCCCGACCGTCCAGGACACATATCCATTAATTCGTTAATGCTCTACACTTAACTCCATAACGACAATATGGATCTTATAGAAAAACTACAAAATACATCTATTTCCAATAACAAGTAGGTGAAATGCCATTCTATATTTTAGTGGAGCTTTGCAAGCATTGGATTTTTAACAAAGATAAGACTTGGATCATGTAAAGTGGGCTAAGGCATCTTTGTTTAGCTTACTCAATGGCAGCCTACATTCCTTTAGATGCTTCCATCATCTCAAAAAGGACATTTTCCTTTCACATTGTTCCTCTCGAGTGTCCAGTGCTGGAAAAGTGGTGTTTCTCTTTGATCATGCATTATTCAAAGTCACTGAATTCTCCAGGCGCACCCTAAAATATTCAACTTAAGCACTTTTTGTGTACATGTCACTTCATATCCCTTGTTCCTCTGCTGCGTTTGTTCATGAACTGTAAATGGCCATTTCTAACAGACGCATTAACTGTGAGTGTTACAATAGTCTCCAAAGGCAGACCACTCAGGCTGAAAAACAGTTATAGTGTAGCAGATTTTGTCATGAACACAGAGCGGTGAGGAAACATGGTGCTTTGATGTCCGTGTAAGTGGGTAACATTTGTGTTGGTGAGCCCTCTTAGTGTCATAGCCTTATTAAAGGGTTTTTAGAAAACTGCAGTGAGTCTGTAATAAGGTACAAGGGTAAAGGCACCAGACTCCTGATGCCACGCATTGCTTTGGGGCTGCACAAGGTCAAAATGGTGCATGACTAACATGTTTTGCTGAATTATAACTGTGAGACTCATTTTCCTGAAAAGGGGCTCAGAGGTCTGATGAGCTGCGATACCATCTGACTACAAAAACAGTGGTTGGGAATTGCGGTGTGACCAACATTGTTGCATCCGTGCCCAATCAAATTGTGATCTCTTTGTTTTTAATATGGTTACTTCAAAGATAGGGACCAGGTCTGAGACCGCTCAGTCACCATCTTCAAACCCATGTTGGTGCATCAAAACAGTGATAAAACGGGGATAAAACAGCAACAATCTCATTGAGATAATAATGTGATTAATGATGATAAAGCTCTAATCTGTTGTCTGCTGGAAATATGTTGCTATCCACACTTGACCTGTAGTGGTGTACTAGAACCAGGCATGGAATCCATGCATTTAATGCAACACTGTCAGCCACAGACTGGGTCAGACTGAAATGTGGAAAATGTATTGCTTATGCAGTTATAAGCAAACTGGCACCGCTAGTTCTTTTCAATAACAACAAGCATTTTACCAAGATCATCAGATTATCATACCCTGATGAAGATAAGAGAATGAATGGATTCATGGATGGATGGATGGAAAAATAAGAAGCAAGTAACAAAATAATACAGTGTAAGTTCAGGTTTTATGCATGTTTCTCTCTGAAAACACTTAATGGTTCGTCTCTCCAACTACTTTGAACTAGATAGCAAAATAAAATCAATCCAATCATTAGCCAACCACCTTTCCCTGGTTGCATGGAGGTTGTGGTCCTATTTTTACTCTTGTGTGACTGAGGCCTTATTGAATTATTTTTGTCTTAGAAACATGTCAGACTTTGATTGATTACAAGCCAGGAGAAGTTACTGTCACTCTCGTCAACTTTCTATGAGGAATCTCCCCCTGGGAACGCCTGACTTTTAGTCAATACTTCTCCAGGTCGTCTGTAAATGCTGACCTTGAATGATACATAAATTAATAATGTAGTTATATAATGAATGAAAATGAACATGCATATTGCTTCATCATCTCCCAGGTTGCATTCCACATCCAACCATACAGAGGACGAAACGATCAGAGCGTGCATGACAACATCAAGTACATCATTGACAGGTGGGTGCATGTCTGGCTGTGCTTCATCGCTGAGTCAACTCAAATAGAAAGCCATTAAGATTGCATGCATAGCAAGAAAAACAGCAGTTACGACACTGAAATACTTTTAGGGTGCAGTTCAGCTTATATAAAGCCAGTTTCATGATTTATGGATGAGTTCTTCAAGCAAAAGCCATTTTAACTTTTAACTTTAACATGTGGGGTTGCTCTGAAAAAGAGGACCTTTCAGAGATTTACTAACTCAGAAGTCCCAAACCTTGAAAATATATTCAGTTTAAGTAACAAATGGTATACAATATTTTTATTCTTTGTCTCAGTGGTAGGATTTATTGTTGTGTTGTTAAATGTTTTGTATTATATTATTTTTAAGGTATGGCGACCACGGAGCGTTCTACAAGTTCACTACCAGCACAGGGAAGAGTCTTCCTCTGTTTTACATTTATGACTCCTACCTAACTCCACCCGAGTCCTGGTCTGAGTTTTTGACACCGACTGGCTCCCACAGCGTGCGCGGGTCAGCTTACGACTCCGTCTTTATAGCCCTGATTGTGGAGGAGCGTCATAAGCACGACATCCTGGCAGGCGGCTTCGATGGCATGTACACTTACTTTGCCTCCAACGGCTTCTCCTTTGGCTCTTCTCACCAGAACTGGAAATCCATCAAAGCTTTCTGCGATGGGAACAACCTCCTTTTTATCCCCAGCGTGGGGCCTGGTTACATTGACACCAGCATTCGGCCATGGAACAACCACAACACACGCAACAGGGTGAACGGACGTTACTACGAGACAGCCCTGCAGGCGGCACTCAACGTGCGCCCGGAGATTGTCACCATAACATCTTTTAATGAATGGCACGAGGGGACGCAGATAGAAAGGGCTGTGCCTAAAAAAACTGTGACACGGGTTTACTTGGACTATCAGCCACATGGGCCTGATCACTACCTGGAGCTGACCCGCCGCTGGGCCGAGCAGTTCAATAAAGAAAAGGAGCAGTGGCTCATGTGAGCTTTCATCAAACTGACTTGAAACGGCACGCCGTAGTGGAAGCGTGTGCACACATGAAAGAGGAGGCAAGAGAGCGATTGATTGATATAGTTTTGAGTGCAGAAGGACATGCTGTTACCTTTTTTAAACATGCTGGATGCCAGAGGTCCTACAGATGTGTGTGCAAATTCAAAGATAGGATACAAAGTGTATCAAAAACCCAGACTTATAAAATGCTCTGTGGGACTGTCTCTAATCTCCCCCACACAATTGGTATGTTGAAATGTCTGCCCGATAATTTATTGTATTTCTAAATACAGTAAGCCACCATCTCATGCCCCTTTATATAGTGAAATAATAGAACTGAAGACACTGTAGTTTTCATTTATCCATAACATACAATTTGACCCTTTACCCAGGTTCAGAGACTTGTCACTGTCACACAACATCTCTAACAAACATATTCTTATGAAATGAAACAAAAAAAGTCTTTTTGATTTTTGGAAATCCTTTAATATTTGGAGCTTTTTGTTGTGAGATTAAAATCAGTAAAGAGAAAGCTGGAAAAGGCAGGAAAGATGGCTTTGCATAGAGAGAGAAAAAAACTGAAAAAGACATAATTTGTAAAGCTAAATTTGGAACATTATAGCATGTTAGCTCAACTTGTAAAAAGAACAGAACATGACAGTTTCTCACAGCAGATCCCCTGCATCCATTTCACTCGATCTCTAACATCTTTCTCTGTCACGCCAACCATCTGCACGTCCTCCTGCCTGAAAGCATCAATCTTCAGCATCCTTCGTCCAGCACATCCACCATCGCCTCTCTAACCTTGCCTCCACACTGAGAGTCACCCTGATATCCTCATTTCTAATCCTGTCCCATTCTGCCAGTAAAATCTTAACATCTTTTACTCCACCTCCAGCGTGACAACTTACCCTTTCGTTATTGCCGCTGTCTCTAAACCATATATCACAACAGGTCTCACTACCATCTCATAAACTCTTTTACTCTTGCCATCCTTCACCAACAAACTAACTTACCAAGAATACTCATTTCTGATCTACCCAAATAAAATTGGGTAATTTCAACCGCTCCTTTATTTCCTGAGGCCTCTGGCACAGATTTTACTCTAGGTACTATTAACACAACCCTCCCATTCATCAGCACAAGCTTGTGAGTCCCCGAGGCTGGGATTGTGTCTCCTCTTTGTCTCAAGCTGGGGATCTTTCCCATATAACGTGTCAAGTACTACACCACAGACCCGATATCTACCCAAATACAATTGAAGATTGGGTAATTCCTATATGAAAAGACTTCACTGTAAGCATATGGGACTCTGCTTTTTTTTTTCTCCACTGAAGCAAGAAGTCAGGACATGAAAGTCTATGGCTCAAAGTGATTGAACGCATTAATGAATATAAACCTGCCCACTGACTGGGGCACTCTGGGGCACAATCTGTATAGACTTGATTAAGATTCTGATAGCTTTTAAAATGAAAGGTTTCGCAGAGACAGGCGTCTTTGAGAATAAAAGTGCGTTCTCTGAATGATCCGAAGTTGATTTCCCTGTCCAGGTTGCCAGTAAGTGGTTTCTGCTCCTTTTTAAACACTTAACATTGCTCTATTGATTTCACCCTCCATTAAGAAGCTGTTTTGAGTGAAAATCCAGACACCAGTGGATAAAGACAGAAATAAATCTCAGATAGCTTCTTGTGCATGGACGAAACTGTGAGACTGGGAAAAAATATATAATTTTATTGTGGATTTGCCAATGTTGTACCATCTGTTAATCAAGGTCCAATCAGACACTGAAGATTTAATCATGTACTCCAATTATTAACATTCAAATGAGAGGAAATCTACAAATTATATCCATGTGCCAACCGAAACAACTCAAATGTGCCAGTATTAGAAGTCTACAATGTAAAACAGGATTTACTGTAAGTGTTGATGCTAACAATTGAAGTGCAATCTTCACGCTGTCATAAAAAAAGAGGATTAAAAAACAAACAAACAAACAAACAGAAAAAACAAACAGAAAACAGTTTACAGCCCCCTTAAATAAAAAGTTGATTTAATTTATCACACAGATTCAATCAGACCATTAAAATGTGTTTACTACAGCTCTGATCGTGTTGCAAAAAGGCTGGCTCAAACCATTCTTTCTCCCATGACCACATTACTTAAAGTACTATACAGCTGACCTTTTTCTGTATAAATGATAGTTTAAAGCTTAAATTCCCAAATAATGTAATGACAGAAACATACAAAATATGCTCATCTAAGACATAAGGAAAGATACCCAAGACACTGAAGCTGCCACTGGAACAAAATCGTCCATCAGCAGTTGCAGTCCTCCTGAGATACAGTCTTCCCCGGCAAAGGCTGATTCACGGATTCATCTTCTCCCAAGTAGCCCCGGGTCAGAGCTGGTTGTGCGTGATTTTTGGAGTGTGGAGAGTTCAAAGGTCATTCTTACCCAGAGTGCTCTGACAGTCCATATTTGCGCTCGAGCACATCAACCGTAGAAGAAAGGGCACTGAAATCAAAATTAAAGTCATTTCTTGTTTAATGTACCAAGTCTACTTCAGAGGAAACATGGGTGGTTTGGGGGCAGAGGGGGTGTGAGGGTCAGAGTGAGAAAGAAGAGTGTTAACACGATGCGACAGACTGATTCCAAATATGGTTTTTTTAAATGAAACTAAGACTTGTTCTTGCAAAATGCCTCCTTATTTTTTGTGGTGGGTATTTCAATATTTAAGTTTTGTTTTAGGAGATTCATACTATAGCTGGTGCTGCAACACTGGGAGAGGCTGGAAACACCTGGGTATTTCAAAGCAACAGTGAGTCAGTGTGGATGCATGCATTCCCCTTCTTCAAGTCATGGAATAAACTGGTGCTATATGAATAACTTCCAGTTCTAATTCAGGTGACTTGAGCAACGTATGACTGCTTACTTTGGATATTTTAATACATCAGACTCAGTCAGTTTACTTTTGCTCAGTTCTGATATGAAAATGTTTTTTTTCCAGTCAATTTTTTTGTCAGTTGTAAAAAGTGCCTGAAGTTCTCTGAAGTGAGTTTAAATGATATGCTTAAACATTCAGTTACATCAGATAGTTTTATCTCACTTGGAGAGAAACTATTGAAACAAGCGTCTGGATGAACTTACCACCCTGGTCTGATGATGCTGTATTTGCCAAGTACTGACAGGTCGACTACTGTTGATCCGAGGCGGCTCTGGTCTCCTATCGGTCCACCATCAACAACCACAGCTAGTTTGGGCCAGAGCTCCTGGAACTCCTTAAGAGGATAAACCCAGCAACATTCAGGGCTACATACACTCACTGACCGCTATGTTAGGTACGCCTGTTCAACTGCTCAATAATACAAATAATTAATCAGCTAATCACATGGCACCAAGTCAATGATTTACACATGTAAAGACAACCTGCTAAAGTTCAAACCGAGTATCACAATGGGGGAAGAAAGATGAATGAAGTGAAGTGATTTTTTCATCACAGTGAATTCACTTCACTCAAATGGAGCCCACAATTACCAGATTTCAATGCAATAGAGCACCTTAATAATGTGGTGGAAAAGGAGATTGGGATCGTGGATGTGCAGGTGGCAAATCTGGGGCAACTGTGTGATGCCACCGTGCCAATATGGACCAAAATCTTTAATGTTTCCAGCACCATGTTTAATATATTGCCACAAACAATTAAACTCAATCCAGTACAAGCAAGGTTTAACTTATAAAGTGTCTGGTAGGTGTACTTGAAATTTAACCTCCTAGGACCTGGCGTCCACATACGTGGACATCACATTTAGGGTTGTCTAGACCAAAATACAAAATTTTGCTCTACAAGGGCCTGATATCCACTTACGAGGACATTATACTGCCACTGCTCTATCAAAATTTAAAGCGAATGTCCTCATATGTGGATCTCATTTTTCTCAGAAACAAAAACAAAACAAAAAAACAAACAAAAACAAAACATAATTCTTTGTTTTTACACTCATCAGGTCCCAATCAGCCCAAATAGCAAAGAGACATTAAAAATGCATGCCATGAAAGAGTTCGGGTCTTTGGAGGTTAACATACTTGAAACTGAAAGAAACAAAAACATCATTTACTTTAGTACTTACATGTACTTCCACTGTGCTGGTCTGTGAGCTGATGTTGGCACTTGTGAGTGCCAGTGGTTCCCCACACATCTGACAAAGTTGCCTCATAAAGGGATGATCTGGGATACGTACACCTACAAGCTGAGGAAGACATGGATGTGTAAACAACAATTCACACTTATGATCAAACAATTTATTGTCAGCACTATTCAATTAAAAAGAAGCAAACTCACTGATGTAAAGGGGTTCAGGTCTGCGTTCAGTTCTTCAGACCTTTCAAACACCAGGGTGACAGGACCAGGGAGCAGGTCACCTAACAGCTCTTTTTTCACCATCACCTTGCAGTACCTGCACATGACATCACATTACCATACTTGTGTTTAATCTAGCCCCAAAAACTATAAATGACCATTAATGACTGCATCACTGCAAAAAAAAAAAAAGAGCAGCTGTGTTTTATTTGATTCTCTGCTCTGATCCTGTTTTGTCTTTTGCAATGAAGTTTTGAACTCATGATGTCACGACACCAATTTGCATTGTGGAAAAATTGCTTTGGGCCATTTCAACATGTTCTGAATTTTAATGAAGCAAATGACTGATAGCCGCAATAACTATCTGATAATAAAATAATTGCTTTTCAGGCCAGAATAGTTTTTGGGAATATCCACTATTCTCTGATTTCATTTGTTTCACTTTAAATCCCACAAAGCTTTAACAAATCTCAAAGAAATGCGACATGCCTGCACAGAGATAGAAAATACAGTCACAGAATAATGTTGCGAATAATAATTACCGAGGTGTCCTTTGACAGCAGGTGTGCCTGTCACTCAAAATGTAAAATGTGTTATTTGAGTGGAGATGGTATCTGTGCCTCGTGCATGTGTGACTCTTCAGGAAATGAGTAATATGTTTGTGCAAAAGAGTTGGCTTAGAGGACTGCACTTAGAATGAAGCAATTACACAACATGTGCCCTGATCAAAGTGAAATAAAAGCACACTTACTTATAGATATCCTGAATTTCCCCTACACAGATGGCCAGCGGCTTCTGTCCGTTTCGTCCTTTAGTGTCATACGTTTTTCTGACGGCGTCGGAGTTTTGGGCCAGACATGCCAGGCCATAGATGGTATCTGTGGGCACCGCAACAATGTGACCCTCTTTCAGGGCCTTTACTGTGCAACTCAGGATTTCAGCACCATCTGCAGTTCAAAAACAAAGGGTGTTAATGAGACGTTATCCACAGAAGGACACAACAGTATGAATGGATGGTATGAGGAGGTTAGGGCATCTAAATTTAAAGCTTTACTCTAAACATGTTCCCCCAGCTTCATTGTTTTCATTTTCCTTTATGTATAGGAACAAATTTAGGCTCATCAGCTATCGTGAATGCGATGTAAATACATTAGGGGGAGCGATAAAACAGGAAGAAATATGTATAGTGTAATATGTTTGTTGACTACCAAAAAGTACACGCCTGAAGTAGCTAAAAAAATCAAAAACCCAAAGTACACAACTGAAGTGTGAATAGGTAAGCAACCTAATGAAATCATACTCACACAATTGAACAGGTGATGTAACACCGTTCCAGATGCAATCTCACCTTCTAATCACACTATATACTATAATGCTAAAATATTTGTTGCTTGCCTTCACACACACATATAAACTTGAGTGACATCCCATTCTCAGTCCAGAAGATTTAATATGTCAGCACAGCCTTTGCAGCCATAGAAGCCTCAACTCAGCTGGGAATTGTGTTTATGGGAATTTTAACCATCCAGATTCATCCAGAAGTGCATGCATGACATGCATGTATCTGCAGTATCTGCTCTAATTCAACCCAAAGGTGTCTGTCGGGTTGATGTCAGGACTCTGTGCAGGCCAGTCAAGTTCTTCCACACCAAACTCGCTCATCCATGTCTTTATGGACCTTGCTTTGTGCACTGGTGTGCAGTCCTGTTGGAACAGTAAGGGGCCATCCCCAAACTATTCCCACAAAGTCAGGAGAATGAAATTGTCCAAATTGTTTTGGTGTGCTGAAGCTTTAGGAGTTTAAACCCGACGTCATAATTCCCCCCTTCTCCAAACGCTACACTTGGCACATTGCAATCAGACAAGTTCTGTTCTCCTGGCAACTGATTGCCAGATGTAGAAATGTGATTCATCATTTCAGAGAACACATCTCCACTGCTCTAGGGTCAAGTAGCAGCATGCTTTACACCAGTGTGTTGCTTTGCATTGCACTTGGTGATGTAAGCCACTCAGCCATGGAAACCTATTCCATGAAGCTCTCTATGAACTGCTTTTGAGCTAATCTGAATGCCATGTGAAGTTTTGGAGGTGCATAGAAACTGACTCTGCAGAAAGTTGGCAAGCTCGGCACACTATACATCTCAGCATCCGCTGAGTCTGCACTGTGATCACACTTCATCAACCATGAAATGATAAAATCACACTTCATGGCTGAGTGGTTATAATACCACTCACAGCTGATTGTGGAATATTTAGTAGCAATGTAATGTGACAACTTGTCTTATTGCACAGGTGGCTTCCTGTCATGGTAGCACGCTGGAACTCACTGAGCTGCTCATTCTTCCTCAAATTATTGTAGAAGCAGTTTCAAAACATTAGGAACACTTGTCAACATACACTCATCGTCTTAGTACATTTCATTCTACACCTGTTTAACTGTTAAACCTGTTAAAGCAGTGATTGTCAACAGGATCTGCTTAAGTTCAACTCAAGTATCCGAAGAGGCAAGATGCGTAATTTAACTCCATTTGGATAGGGCCAGATGAGGACCTGAGGTTTTCACACAGTACAGAGGCATGAACGTTATGGTAGTGTGGGGCTTTTAATAATTTCTTTAACTTTTGTTTTCCTTTTTCTACAGTGGAATACAGCATACATAATGACTAAAACAACAAGAATTAGGTGTACAACTTTGAATTTCTGCCACTAATTTCTAGTTTGGGCAAACAGCTACAAAGTAAGCAGTTCATCCTAACTGGCAGTGCTCACTCTACTGTGACTTAACTGGAGCTTAGTTTTGGGTGTTAGAATCACATCGGGTTAGCTGTGAGTCACACATAACAGGAAAACCAAGAATCTGATGCAACACGGTGCAGTGTTTACGATGCTTAGCCTCCAATCAGAGCCAGCTGTTTACAAACACACCCTGCTTCACTAAGCGAGACCTACGTCCACTTTGAATGTTAGACACATGTACCTGTCTCGTCCCGATGGACCGTCGGTCCGTTGGAGGTCGGCGGTAACAGACGCAATACTTTTGTCTTGAGCTCTTTAAACATCTCTGCACTGATCCGACGAGCTGCGACTGAACCGTGAACTCCTCTAGATGTATTTACTAATACAGCAGCAATACTACAAACCAGCTTCATAAAATCAAGCGTTCATCCGGAGGACTACCCTGTCTCACACAAGCAACGTGTAGCCGTAGGACCAGACGATAGAATTTTTCCGGGTTACGCCCCCAATCTATGACGACAACAATTAAAGAGCCAGCGGCACGGAAAAATGCAGACTAATACCAATGACCGCCAAAAAAACGAGTATAATTTCACACTTGACATATACTTATAGCATTTCTAAAGAGATATATCTCTCTCTATCTTTCTAAACCGAATGCCAACTGCATTCTTTAGCTCATTTTTTTTACCCTTTCCAAATAAATAAAAATTATGAGCCTGGTTTTCATTATATCAAAAATAAAATTTTAAAATAAAATACATCACGTTTACGGAAAAAGAGGAAAAAAAGCAGTGAATAAAAATGTTTTAATACTAGACACTTTCACTGGGAAAAAAACAAACCTGTGTCTTTTTTTTGCTATTATTAGGGAAAAACAACAACAAAAACCCCAAACAGATTATTAACTTCAAGTGAATTTCTCAGAACTTTGAGTAGTTAAGTCAAAAATGGGAAACTATACCCCGAAATATACCCTTTCACTCATTGGCGCCTTTTTTGTCCTCCCCCAGTGGTAGAAACATATGTCCAGAGTGGCCTGGGCAGATAGTTCTTTCCCTCGTCATTCACTAATTAGTAAAATATAAATCACCTGAGCACACCTGCTTAAAAACAACGAATGCCCTTCCTCTATGAAACACGCTAAGCTTGGAAGACAAATGTGTATTTAAACATGGCCTCGGAAACTGGTAAGGTCGCCTGCTGCCCTCCAGCTTTCATGTTATCAGCGGGTTTGTCCAGGTATGTTTTGAACACTTGCAGGTTGCGCAGAGGATTTGCCGTCTGGGCGCGTTGATGAGGCAGGCTCCGAGACTAGACAGGTGAGTCACAGCATGACATTTTACCCTGATGGTGCAAGGCATTTTAACCAACACGTCCTCCGCAGGCTCTACAGGACATCGAGGACAGACTGTTGGACCTGTCTGAAAAAATAGCCCTGTGCAAAAAGATCGAGAATGACTTGAAGGACTTGCGTCATGCCCTAGAAGTTAGTTTTCTTCTGGTCTCTGAATTCTACAACAAATGGTTAGTGGTTTTTTTTAAAAATGATACTGGTTAAATGTTACAGAGGAAATCCCCCCAGGATGTGTCCGCACCACTCCAGAAATGAAGAGAAGAGGAAGACCCCTCCCAACTACTGATTGCTATCTGACTAAATGAATGAATTCTATTAAAGTAACACAAATAAAATGCTTCACCAAGCAAACATTTCAGTGACAAGGATAAGGTTTTATTAGTATTATATTGCTCTCAATTCAGAAATTTACTCATATTTATATGAAACGCATAAGCAAACAGTTTCACATTATACATTCTTTAAAAAATACAAATTCTTAACATTTCCTCACTCTTTGGGTGTCAAGACATTCCTTTGGAAGCATGTCGTTTTCCTCTTTCTCCCTGCCCCAGCTCTTCCTGGAAAATATAGCCTGTTTGGTGGAAAATGTTGATGGCAGAAATTCCAAAGGATCTACACTTGTGAACAATCTGCTTCCAAACAAATGTCGCCACAATTGATTTGCTGACACTACAGACTGATGTAAATATTAGCCACGTGAACTTGGCCGACAAAGGCAAAATTTCTCTGTTTAATGAAAGAAACCAATAATTCACATGTTAAACTGAAGCGTACAAAAGTGCGAAATGATGAAACTGGATGGAATTCTAAACATATTTAAGCTTAAAACGGAAAATATCTGATTAAAATAACAAAACTGCCAAATACTTAAACATGCAAATCCAGCTAATATTAAACCAATTACAGAGGCGATAGGGTGGCTGTGAAACAGTACTTCATGGATTCACTACAGTCCAGATTCACACCATTCAATGCAAAATATACAGGAGCACTGTAGCTCAAAGCTATATTGCAGCAAATATTACTTAATGGGAGGCATAAGTAACCATTTAATCTTGGAGTCAGTAACTGAACTTGTAAATACCACACTTAAAATTGCATAGTTAGGTTCACCAATGATCTGTATGAAAATGTATAATGGTGAATAGGTACGACTCCCGGTGGTATTTTTATTTCTTTGTGGGAATTATTTTAATATCCACTGGAGTCAATGTCAGATTTGGATGCTCCAGACATCTAATTAATATTGTATTATGGGAGGAAATTTGCCTTGTGGCACCTATAAATTTCCTAAATCACACACAAGAGGAGCCAGATTCAAATTTTGCTTTTTTTTTTTTTTTTTTTTTTAAAAGATTGATTCTGCAAATTGGAAATTAAAAGCAGAATCATAATGTCTGCATCTGTTATATAGCTGAGTTTAATTTCTTTTTTAAGTCAATGCTGCAATATTATTATATTATATTGGTAAAGCCCATTAGACTTTCCCAATATCACAACTGGAAAATCCCCATGCTTTTGCCTTGGTGTGATCTGCTGCTGGAGTGGCTGCCTGAGAGTCGGTGAATGTGAAAACAGAGTGTCAACAAGCCGATTACTAAAGCAGAGGCTATCAAGGCAAGGAGGCTTACAGAACAATTAATTTGTTGTAAGGCCAAGAAGCTCTACTGTCATTTACAGGGCATAATGCCTTTACTCTATCATCATTGCATTGTGTCCCATGCGAAACAATACTGTTAAATTATACTCTGTGCCAGAGGCTATGCATTACATATATTTTCTTACAATGTGGACTATACAGAAACCCAGCGGCTTGTATAACTATTCAACTAAAACACAGCAAAAACATCTTCTGCATAAACGTGACGGGGAGAAGAATGAACAGAGAGTATACATTAGGTTCAAACTCAGAGTTAGCAATTCAAAAGTCTATACAAAAATACAAATTCTAGAATAATCTACAAGTTTTTCAAAGATGTTTACACTAAAATGTACCATATTTACACTGTCACCAGGACACCATCTTTTAAATGCTACTTTACAGCAGGTTTATACAAAAACTCTGTAGTGGTGCTGCAAATCAGCCTAACCGATATGCAGAACCAACTTTACAAGTTAGTGTGCAATAAACAGGGAAGAGTGCAGCAAAAACGTAGGGCTACTGCAAGTGTGGGCCATCCGGCAAGGAAAATGCATGTCTGAGAAAATTGTGGGAACCAGGAACAGTTATGACTTGATGCATCCCTGAGAGGGTCACAACCCTAAAGAAGATGGGATGTTGACAGTAGTTCCTTATAGTTTAGTTGTGGGCAAGTTTTTGCAAACAAGCAGATCCAAGAGGATATTTTGCTTGACTGTGTCTACTACACGTGCCTCTTTTTACAATACTTACTACGTTCTTATGAAGGTAAAACAATTCAGTAACAAAAAAGCAGCTCAACTTAAAAAAAACAACATGTGATTGGAATAAATTAATAGATTATTTCTGCTATCTCAAAGCTGATAGTATCATTATATTGAAAGAATCAGGCATTTAAATAAATTAACATATACAATTTTAAGTTAGTTTAAGTTATAGGCAACTTATTGACGTTATGTCGCTTAAAGAGACAGGCAGATCTGATCACAGGTTCTCAAAAAAAGTAAAAAAAGAATCATCACATTATCTGGACCGCACTAGTCTTCATAGAAAACAAACAAAATACTGAGGAAATCACTTCATATTACAAGACAGCCACGTGGGAAGCTGTGTGACCAAGCTCTTTAAATTTTTGCTGGGAGCAATGCTTGATTAAAATTGTAGCAAAATCCTCTCATATACAGTGCATTATGGTTATTTGCATACCAGCCTAAAGAATTTGTTAGGACCTGTAGTACAGTACGAGAATACAGTACAAGGACAGACGAGTTTTGTTTTCCTGCTAAGGTGTGTGACCTTCAAGCCAGGACAATGAAACTCTAAATTATCAGTGCTTGGACAACACTTGGTCATTTCAATCAATTCAGAATGAGGATTATTATAAAGAGTTTATCTTTTCAACAAAGGATCTACTGCCTTTTCCCTGCATTAATTAGCGTTTAAGTTGCTAAAACTCAACTACTGCAATGAGACTCAACAGAAAAGTTACACATACTTTGTATATATACTATATGTGTCCCAGTGCCATACAAAGCAGAATGCACTGCAGGTACTGAGGGGTTTCAATGCACACGCTATATAGGGTGAAAGAAGAGGCATCACTTCGGAGAGTGACTCGAGGTGTGGGTGGAATCGACGCTTGTGGGCGAGTGGGTGCAACAGACAAACATGTGGTGCCAGACTCCGAAGGCAGCTCTTTTAAGGATTGCCATCAGTAGCCATGCTGAAGTCATCTGCGACCAGCAGCAGAGCCTCAATGTTGGCGGCTGTCTCAGGGCTCTGCAGGGAGAGGAAGTCTGAGACGTCCATACTGGCTAACCCGTCAGATGAGGGTGGGTTGGCGGCAGTGCCGCTCACTATTGTGGAGAAAGTCTGAGCTGTGGAGGAGGAGGAGGAAGAAGAAGAGGGGGCCTCCAGTGTCACCTCACCCACCTTGGAGGAAGACTTGGGGGGGCAGCATGAGGAAGATGAAGTTGCTGAATGGTGCTGAGGCTCTGATAGTGGCGGGGGAGGGGGCTCTGGTGGTTGCTGCTGTGCTGGGGCTGAAACGATGGAGGAGGCACTCTTTGCACTCTTGTCTTTAGCAGAGTCCCTGCAGGCACACTGACACTGGCAGGATTCCTCCTGTTTGATGATGATGACTGGCAGGCTGAGGCCGATCTGCTGGACTGAGTTACCTACAACAGAAACATTACGTTTGACTAGTCCAATGCAAATAAATTAGTCAAAACCACAGTGGTGTCTGCAAAAGTAGGCTGTCTGATTGTACCCTGTCAATATTTACAGATGGAAACATTACAATAGATCAGGTGACCACATGTTCCTATCAGCAACATGAACTGTAAACGTTGATGAAAACATCATCATCTGGTAAACCTGGCAGTGGTTCTTTTAAGGATCATAAGAGCTGTAAATTCACCAGCAATCACTAACAAATCAAAAATCTTTGACTTCAACTTGCTAACTAGAGCCCCCCCATTTTCTGTTTTGTCAATTTATATTAATATATTTGGGGAACTCTTAATTAAAAAAAAAAAGAGTTCAGGGAATCTTACCTTTTTCCTCCCCATTTCATAAATGTTACATTTAATTAGGTGAAAAAAAGATTTAGCAAAAATGAAAGATGGTTACTATCAAGCCTCAGCCAGAGATTGACATTTCCTTCCTCAAACTTCGCGTTTATATTGCCAAATACTTTTCCTAGTAACTATTGCATACTATTTAACTAATAGTCATTAACCCAAGTATTTTAGTGGCAAAACAAATGTATGATTTCCTCAGTCTTTGACCAAAGTCAACAGCACAAGATTGGTTTCACGGTGGCTTACCAGCATTACCTCCCACTGGTATGGCTGTAGTAAAGAAAACCTTTTCCACTTTTGGAGCTCCTTGATGTGGCTGTGAATAAACAAAAACACCAAAATTCAAAAGGGTTAACAATAAATATCAGTATCCTCAAGATGATTGCACCATGTTCTTTTTTTTTTTTAAGACCGTATCAAAAAGGGATGGACTGTGTATGAATTAAAAGCCATACTTTCCCTAATGTTTTATTTACCTAGTTTCATAGTTTGTTTGTGCTACCTTGTTTTCTTGTGAACATACTGATGAAGAGGAGAACAGATTCTGTGTGGGATCATTACTCACTGCTTGCTCTGGGTTCTGCTGGCTGTTGGTGGCACTGCTGAGGATCCACTGGAGATTCTGGTCAGACATGACCAAGCTGGGCTGCAGCAGGTTCTGTGTGGGTGCTATGGTGATAGTGGCAGGGGTGGTTGCCAGACCAGGGCCAGAGTTTGGACCAGGATTATTGGCCAAAGGCACAGGTTGAGCCACAGGTGCTAGAGCATCTGTTGTGGTAGCTGCAACAACAGCAGGACCAGGACCTGGTGCTGTGGCAGTCAGTGCAGGGGCAGGAGCAGGCGTAGCAATGGGTGGTGGTAATGGAGTGGTCTGGGTAGTACTATCTTGCTGTAGGAATGTTGGTGGCAGTGCCACATATTGCTGGGGTGTGACGTGGTTTTGTGGCTGGACAGAAGCCTGTGGCACATCTGAGATCTGCTGAGGCCCATTGAGCTGCATGAAAGCAGGAGGCTGTGTTGTGCTAACATTTGCAGTGATGGAGGCAGGGGTGGAGGTCTGGGAGGAAGAGCTCTGATTGAGCTGGGAAGAAGCCTCCATGACTGCAGCGTTTTGTGAACAAGAAGATGAGGAGGTAGGATTGACAGAGAAAGAGATGAGAGAGGAGGCTTCTGTCACTCCCGGTTGGGTGGGAGTGTCCAAGCTGAAGGGCTCAGCAAGGCTCTCTGGTAAAGGGGGGAAAAAAACTCTCAGAACAAGAACTTTAAGAAGAAAACCCAAACAGGTCGATTTTTAAATGAAATATTCTTACCGCTGGGATGAGCATCATCTTGGCTGATGCTATTTTCAGGACTCTGGAACATAAGCTCAAAGATTTTCACAGGGGTGGCATTGTTGAGGTCCAAATTTTGAGCCTGCAATAAAATTTAAATGAAAAAAAGCCTTTAAAAAGTGCACTCAGTGAATATATTGTTTTAACCATGACATTTTAATACAGTGAATATAAAAACAACTGAAGACTGAAAATATCTTTTAACTGGCATATCACTGATCATCCTGACAGCTCCTCTACTGTGTCAACACAGAGTCTGTTTGACAAAGGTGAAATAAAGTTCAAACTCACATTATGGATGTTCTCTCGTAGTTCTGAGTCTGTAGAGATGAGGCTCAAGTCACTGAGGCACAGCGAGTGATTTGCATCCTGCAATTAAGAGATCGAAAGGTCCCTGATTAAAGTAGCCACTACAAGTGCTGAGTCATGGAAATGAAAGCTACTGTAAAAAATAGGTAAAAATCTAGGTTTTACCATACAAGGTAATCCATTACATAATGACATAATTAACAACTATTCCTTTAAAGAAAGAACAATGTAATCTACTTGTTCTATAAACATTTGCCATTAAAAACACAGGCCACTGCACAAGTGGAAAAGTTAAATACTTTACTTTTATGGTGACATGCTCTGTAGAAAGTCAATGTACCATGTAGTAATACCTGTGATATGAGATGTTATAACACAACTGTTTATTATGTGAAAAGCAACAAAAAAGAGCACTTTACTTCAGAACACAGCATACAGTAAATGGCACGAGGAGCACAATGTTATGTAGCCCTGAGGCTGTCCATGGAGAACACAATGACTGTGCCAAGTGTGCCCACACTCTGACAAGAAGCTGTGCTGTGACTCACTTCAGAGAGTGGATGGGCGAGAGAAACGCTGAAGGACTGTCCTTTGTCGTGGCCCCGGATGTGACTCTTCAAGCTGTACTGGCTGCTAAAAGTCTTCTCACAGCCGTCACTAGGACAGTTGAATGGCTTCTCCCCTACAGAATGAGCAGAGACAAAGGCAGAAAATACAGACTGAGACTGATTAATTTATTTATTATTCTTTACTATTTATATCTTTCCTGGCAGGAAAAAAGTAATCAAAATTCAAAGTTGCAGCTTTATTAATAAAATGATGACTTTTCAGTGACAAAAAAATGCAGCCGTATGGTTTTAAAAAGTCAACTTTACTCTTGTCACAATAATATAAAAATTTCAAGGGACCAGCATGGCTGTTTCCTGCTCTTACTCTAGCTTTGCAGACTTACACACGCTATAGCTATGTACTGTCACCAGGGGGCAGTGTTAGAAATATGTGAAACAACTCTTAATATGACTCTTGTTTGTGTTCGCAGAATTCTTGGTTCTTAAGCTAAGTCGCTGCAGACACAACAGAAGTCAAAACATACAAAACTGTTTGTAGTAAAGCAAAACCAAACGTTAAAATAATGAAAACTGTCCTGTTTTCAACCTTGAGGCAACTGTGGCTCAGGAGGTAGTAGGGGGCGTCTTCCAAGGGGAAGGTCAGTGGTTTGCTCCCTAGTTTCATGCTAAAGTGTCCTTGGGTAAGATATGGTGTGTGTGATGATTAGAAAAGGTGTAGGTTTGGTATAGAATGAAGCTCTTGTATGTCACTGGGTGAAGGAAGCTTATAGTTAAAAGTGCTTTGAGTGGTCAGTTAAGCAGAATTGATGGGCCAGCAGGGCGAGCACCTTCGCAGTCTGCTGGTAGTCGGAGTGGCCTATCTCTCTGCAGAGAGCTCTGTTTTTAGATGGACGCAGTGTACAAAGTCTGTGATAAAAATCTGTGGGCTATTCTTGCTTGTGCTGCTGTTGGTGCATCAGCCAGGCATGAAGTTATAACATACGAATAGCTGAAGTGAAACCAAGTGCAGAAGAAATGTCTGTGCTTTTCATGGTGTATTTTTAATCTTTGATTTTTTTGTGGTTCTCTTGTTTCCAGTAAAGTCCCCTTTTCAACCAATTAGCAAACAGTAGAAGCACTTCCTCTCCACACCCTTTACAAAGTGTTACATTGGTACTTAAATAGCACTTAATGGGGCTATATAAATACTAATCAATTTACCATTACCCAATCAGTATTCTACCTATGCAGTGTCATCACTGTTAAGCTACATGCTTTTGTTTTTTCCTCAGTCTGAATATGCAAAATCCAGCCAAATGGACACAAACACAGTACAATGAATCCTGTAGTTGGATTTTAATATCCTGATACATCTTGTAATTGTTTCTTTTTCAACAACACAAAGCATAAGCCAGTTCAAGTCATTCCTTGTTCAGCTGAACATGATCTCCTATATTGATATTATATTGATATAATGGGGAAAAAACCCCACCAAATACATGGGAAGCTAGTATTTGTCTGTGTATTTGACAGCTGGCATGTAGGAAAGATGTTCACCTGCCCTAAACAAGCATGCAATCATTAGAGCCAAGAGCTTGGCCTTAGCTGTCCATCTGGGGGGTGGGTCTTATTTGGAAACATTTGTTCAATCAATACAAGCACACATGGAAAGAGCATTTTCAATTATAGCTCCCCCCCCTCCCATTTCTAATTCTGAAAGGAAGACAAAACAAATGTTTTTGTGTGAAGGAAAGATGGTTCAGGTTAGGTTATTTAGACAGACAACACATGGGAGGCACTGGGCAACAATGGAAATGGAAATCAGGAAGAAATAAAAACAAATACATCTTTGTTGAAGCTTCCCTAGATAATTGAGGTGAACCAGAACACTGTATACCTGTGTGAGTCCGTACATGTGTTTTTAGGTGATGACTTGCAGCAAAGGCTTTTCCACAACCATCGTGATCACACCTGAAAGCAAAAACAGGAGAGAAAAAAACAGCGTGAGATCAAATGTAAACATAAAGTGAAAAACATTAAAGGCTGGATTTCATCATCCTTCTAGATTAAAGTCATGACCCATTGCCCCCCTGTGTCGTTATATGAAGAAAAACAGACAGTTAACATGGATAAGTAAAATTTAAGTACACTTAAAGTTTTGTACAGCAGTTCCTTCACCTTAACTGGGAGAAAATTAAACCTGCTGTGAAAAAGAAAATGCTCACCGGAATGGCTTCTCCCCAGTGTGTGTGCGAATGTGCTTCCTCAGGTCACTGAGGGTGGTAAAGTACTTTGTGCATCCCTCTGATTCACAGTTGAAAGTCTTGCCTGTGTGAAGTCTCTGGTGTGCTTTTAGCCTGCAGAGAAAATAGTGTTTCATTAAACCACAATGGGAAAATAGGAGAGGGACAAAGTAAACGCAGTGGCATTCAGCAACATGTGCTGACTACACTATCATCTCATTTAAAAAAATCTTTAAAAAAAAAAAGAGATGAGTCAGACGGGGAATGGGGCTATTAATAGAATTTTAAACTCAATCACGATTTTTGGCTTCTCACATTTAAATGAACATGGTCTAGTGATACTAAAAATGCATGCTCTGCAAACTGAATGGAAAGCAAAAGCAAACCAAGCACTTCCTAAAAAAAACAGCACCTGACCACGTGCCAGCATCAGTCAATCACAGCTGCGCCCCGCACAACACAGCGTGCAGTGCTGGACTGATCTGGACGAGTAACTCCACATCAAAAGACCAGATATACAGCAAAAATCAAAAAATGTCTGGCACAGGAGAACATGAAGAGCTTGTCCCTTAAAGTGGATCATCATCAGCTGTTTGGAAATACTTTGGATTCAGTGCAAGAGATTTTATCCAAGAACAAATCATATACGAAAGTGTCTATTAAACACATATTTTTGGGTAAACGTTGGAGGGAAAGAGAGAGAATACGTTGAGTGTTTTTGGCATCCATCATGCTGATACAATAAATGGAATGAAAGATTTTTTTTGTTCGAGGAGATGCACTAAGATCAGGTAAATGGTGAATAAACACTTACTTGTCTGCAAAGTTGTATTAATAACCAAGAATGTAGCACAACGTAAAAAGGAAAGCAGTGCTCTGTTAATTCTATTTTCTGTTAAGTTTTGGTGCATTTTTTTTAAATCATACTTCTTATCTTTTCTAAGAAACACATGGAGTTTCAGTGAGTGAGGAAGACCAGTTTTATTTTGATGCAAAGATTGATTATGCGAAGCAAACCATGACGAACCACTAATGCGATCCACAATGTAAAGTTAGATCAGGAATCTCAACAGCTCTAAGCCCTGTGTAGCTTACGATGATGGCACAGCAGCATCAAGCCACAGACACATGGCATTGCTACTGAAACAGTGCAAACTGGATACTTGGATGCCCTTTGATTTGTACATCTGATATATCTTGTGGTCAAACAAGAGACCTGACGGAATGACTGAAATATGTTCCTCTTTTAATGAAGACCCGAGTCGCTTGAGTCATTTTTTGTGTCGAAACATCTACTGCATCACGCTTTGTCCACTGCCCCCAACACTTAGGTCTAATTATCTTAACCTACTTTTGATCAAGTCTAACAAAACTGAAACGGAACCTACAGTGATGATAAAGGTGACTTCATATAAACTTCAAGTTTCCACAGCAATGTAAAGACAGCAACATGAGACATGAAAGACAACAAAAAAGGCTCACCTGTACAGCGTGTTGAACGCCTTTTCACAGCCCTGTACGTCACACTCGAATGGCTTCTCCTTGGTGTGAACACGGACGTGGATCTTAAGGCTGTAAGAGGTGAGAAAGGCCTTTCCACAGCCTTGCTGATTACACACAAACGTGTACTCGCCCCGATGCGTTTTCTGGTGTGTCCGCAAGTTTCCTGCTGTGCTGTACGTCCTTGTGCAGCCTTCGAACATGCACTGGTACCGCTTTACCTAAAAGCGAGAGAATAAAAATGGTAAGTGGAATTAAAACATAGTGAAAGAATGCTGGTGCTAAGAAAAGGATTGCATCAAATCTCTTTAAAAAAAATATGTTAATCTGTGTTTTAACTGTATTTAACAACACCATTTCAACAAGACAGGGAGAAATTAGTAAATCCAGCTCAGAAATAATAATAACCTGCCCTGCCATTGAATGAGGTGACAGTCTGACTCAGGGTGGCCTTTTGGATAGGATTTGAACTTAATGACTCAACCTCCCATCAGTACACAAAGCGGGTGAGCATTAAGGACATCAGTGATGACTAACCCCCAATTCTCTTTCACAGCACCGATGTCCATTGCAGTGGGGCAGTCTCCTGCTCTGCTCTCACACAAATATCCTGGGGGCACTGTGAATAAAAGCAGCCCAGTCTCTACTTAGAAAAATTCTATAGTGTATTGAACACAAAACCAGGAGGAGAAAACTTGTGGCTGGCCTCCTCAACAAGAGACTCTCCTTCCTCTGCTGCTATTACCTCATTTACTAAACTAAATCCTCTTAGTATTCTTGTAAAAATGAATTGTAGCCCAATTTAAATCAAAGCAAGGCAAATGAGATTATTAGAATATTAGATGCATCAGAGAAAACTCAGCATGAACCTTGCAGTGTTTGCAGAACTCCAAGACACCCAGTATCACAACTGTGATACAGTGAAAGTTAGACACAGCTGACTTAGCTTTCGGTCCTTCTGACAAGCGCTAATCTGAGCGATGGTAGTCTGAAACCATTCAGTTTGGTTATTAGTGTGTGGCAGGGATCATTTGTTAAGCAAATATCTACGCAAACCCACAGCAGAACCCTGCTAAAACTGGCAGCTCAGATCTGCATTTATCTCACACACCATTGTGACTCTACCACACTGTGAATTTGATCATTGCGAGGGAGCACTTTATGCTCCAGCTTCCCACACGCATAGTGGAAGAGACCACTCCATTACAAATTGGTTTATGAAAGAGGAGTGCTTAGCGTGGCCAACAAATATTGCGCAAACCATCCACACCCCAGTGCACGCTTTCCGCGGGGACTCATATTTCATATTTGCTTTGTTTAACATATTACAAAGACCTGCATGCACATGACTATTTATGATTCCAGGCCTGCAGAAGAGTGTGGCACCACTTTATATTGTACTGTTGTGCAATATAAATTTAAATTCATTTCTCAGAAGTGGCATGAAGTCATACACATACAGACACACACAATTAAAGATCCCGGTATGCTTCTATACTGCTGCAAGAAATATATAGTTGTTTTTTAATTCAGAGGGTTGCTCAAAATCTTTTTCTTTAGATATTTGTTATTATTGCAGTTGGTAAAGGGGTTAAAAACCGAGCGGACACTGCTAACAAATAAAATCAAACCTTGACTTAACTTCACCTTTCAAACCAAAACTGGCTACAAAAGCAGCAAGGTTTCTGCCAATAATATTCAGAAATAATAAGGCATTTGCTCCAGCACCACACCCATCTAATAATAACAAAATCTAAATCTACCAGTATATTAATCTTCAATACATAATATGATTTTAAAGTATGAAAATACCATGATCAAGACAATATAGTCATAATGCTTTACTCTGGAAAGTTTGCAGTCAGTTTTAAGTGTAATTCTATTGTTCTGCATAACTTTTAAACCCCAATTCCAAAAAAGTCTTGGTGCTGTGTAAAATGAACAAAAACGTTTGTGTAACTTCTATAGAACACAATAAACTTACTAAATGTTTAAGCAGACATTTTACCATTTCATAAAAACATTAGGATGGGGGCAACAAAACCGCTTTCAACACTTTGCAATGAATCAGATGAACTGTTAAAAAAAGGCCAACACCATGATTGGGTATAAGAAGAGGATCGTAGAGAGGCAGTGTTACTCAGAAGTAAGCTGCCTCTCTTTTACAGAAGGGGCTCACCAATTTACAAAAGAATCTGCATTTACAAGTTGTGGAAGAATTTCAGAATATTGTTCCTCAAAAGATTCTGAGAATCTGGAGAAATCTCTGTGTGCAAGGGATAAGGCCAAAAATCATTGGATGGGCTCAGGAACACTTTTAGAAATCTGTGTCTGTGAACACAGTTAACTGTTCAGGTCGTGTTGTGTCCTCATTTTTCCTGCAACCTCTAAAGTGGAGAGGGACCAACGTGCTTGTTATCAGCACTCGGTTCAAAAGCCTGCATCTCTGATTGTGTGGGTGATACATTAGAGCTTATGAAATTAACAGCTTGCACATCTGCAAAGACAATGCTGAAAGGTCTATACAGGCTTTAGAGCAACATATGTTTTACCCAGATGATGTCTTTTTTGTGAAAGTCCTTAAATATTTCCGTAAGACAATGCTACTGCATCTGTTGCATGGCTTTGAAGTGGAAAAGTCCTAGTGGTGAACTGACCTGCTCGGAGTCCAGACCTTTCATCAATTAAACATATACAGCTGTTGTGAGCTACAATCCTGTATCAGACAAGAATCTAGCAACATTTCTCTCATAAATGTCCCACAACTGTGCGCATCAGATGTTTATAGACTACTGTTAAAATAAAGGATCATAATAGTGGTAAATATGGCTCTGTAGGCTATATATCATCTAAATCAACTGATTAAACATAGGAAAGAGAACTATGTTGTTCCCCAATGTGCCTCCCTGCCTTTTATGTTAGGTACCTACAGGTTAACAAGTGCAAACTTCCTATCAGATGGTTTTACTATGCTGTTCATCTCTGCTAATTAAGATAGGTTACTGCTGAAGGCAACAGAATGGCAACTTCTGCATAGTTGCTGAGAAGATCCTTTAAAAGAACTTGAAGCACAGTGACATATTTTCAACTGCACACCATTTTTCACCAGGTCAAACTAGGTTTAAAAAAATGATCACTATATTATTAGAGGATAAAATCATAAAATCTTTAAACCATCTGCTCTTCTGCAATTTGTTGTAATAACTGAAACAGCTTAGACAAGCAATCACTGCAATCTATCATACATGTGCACTACCTTAGAGCCAATCAGAGGAGCCTCTGATGACCAAACAAGCATATGTCTTGTAACAGCTGGACAAGATGCACTTATTTATGCTCACCTCTCTCTGCTTGGTCTCTGGGCACTCAGAGTGCAAGGTGAGTGTAGCCCCCTCGATGTTGCGTGGCATTGGGGTGGACCCTGGATTTATTGTGAACTGGATCTGGTCAGGAGAAATTGTGTGGTGCACATAACCCTGTGACATCCCATCTGGGTCTGTCATAAAGGCCAGCGATCCCTCCTCCTCATCTCCATCACCTTCTCCCTCTGTTAGGAAGGTGACTCCATCTTCATCCCCTCCACAGTGACCCTCCTCTTCTCCCTCCTCATCCAGTCGTATTGGGTCCCGCTCAATGAGGACCGTGGTGCGGTCATAGACCCGACCAGAGGATGACGAAGGTTCAGCAATTAGGTCACCGTCTTTGCCAAAGTGGATCTTGTCATCTTCTTCGTCATCCCGCTCCAGAGGATCCACCTCCACCTCAAAGTACATAGGCGCCTCCGTATGAGGGCCATTCTCACTCATGGTCTCTGATGCCTCTCCTTCCTTGGCAAGAAGGACTGCACTCTCACACGTTAATGTTTCACCCTGAAAAAGAAAGAAGCTACTTCACTTACGCTCTTAGGTTGTATAGCTCAGCTGAATTATTACAAATTGTAATTGGAAAAAAGCAAACACTGTTGAGCAGAAACTCATAGTTTCTCATAGCTGAGCCCAATAATAAAGACTGAATATATTTATCAGCGTTTAGTGATTCAGCAGCAGATCTGACTAGGGCTGCCCAGTTAAACTATATCAGCTGTCACTATGTAGCCCCACGCTGACAGACAGGAACATTTGGCAACAAATAACTAGACAGAGCCACAGCTATGTGTGCTTTTGGCAGAATAAGGTTTTTTTGACTACATTAAATGCCCGTTCACCCCCTAATGTAGCGGACCTGCGGGTGTCAGTCAAAAGCAGCGAATTTTTTTCTTCGACAAGTCAGACTGAAATCACCGCAAGTAGACACTTAGTAAGAGACATAAACACTGTTCACAGAAACTAAAGCTACACATCGCGATCTGGAACTTTCTTACTCCAGTGACAGAAGTCATGAGATAGCTGGTGCTTAGCCCTAGCTACTCGGTGACTTCTAATCAATCAAAATTCATCAGGCTACCTCTAAAGGAAAACGTTAAATGCTGCGTATGAAAGCTGTCACTTCAAACCGACGGTGACAGTTAACTTTTACATGGCTGCGCACACAATGCAGCGCAGTTTCCAAACATAAGCGTGACCTTATAGGCACTCACTGGCTGCAAGGTTAACCTTTAGCTGACTGAACAATATCGTTTTCACAACTTAATGTCACAGTACTGAGGTTGTTAGCTTTACAATGCTAGCATTCTGGTGGATATTTGATCTCATATCATGATTACATAGTCTCCAGCCTGATACGTCGCTGGTTAGCTGCTGTAAATTAATCTTAGGCTGCTTATTTTGCATCTGCCGTTACATATCTTTAGAGTGGGTTTCTCTTCAGCTCGTAAGCCACAGAAAGCTAAATGGGAACTAGTTAGCCAGAGGCTAGGCTAGGTAAGTCAGCTGCCACTTATTTCTCTACACATTCATAGCTTCGCTGGATAGCAACACTTTAGCTCATTGCTAAGCTAAGGGGCTAACGATAAACGTTTATTGTCAAGATTACTTATCGTTCCTGCAAAGATGGTCAGTTTCATTTTACCCGGTGATAAAGTGGCAAACTGAGGTTTAAGTGGATCGACTAGAAGGAAATGTCATTAAAATAAATTTACCTCTGAATTTTAATCCTTATTCCGATGCTTTGGATGTTGACCACTTTCTTCCTATCCCCTCCCTAGAAAGCCATACGTCACAGGCTCGCAGCCATTCGTGATGAATTATGGGAAATAATGTATAACTAACGCTAAATAACAATATTAAAAAATTCCATAAGATGATTGTAGGGAAGGGGTTTCGCTTTTATATTTAATGTTGATTTATTTTAGCAAATAATACAATTTTGATTAAAAAAAAAAAAAATTACTAGCAACACACAACGTGTTTCCAGACATTTTATATATAAAAAAACAATACACTTTTTAGATCAGAGACATGAAAATACAAATTGTTCTTTTTAAATAAAATATACATACATTAAAATTTGTTAGGCTTCCACATATGCTCAATGATATACAATAAATTCTGCATCAACTGATCACAAACTTGGTTTTGAAATAAAGTGATTAGAAATAAGAAACATCACTGACAATAATAACTCTACATAGTTATACAAAGAGGATATCAAATCATTACAGTTATTTCAAATACTGGACGTTTACAGTTTTTAGTGTTCAGCTTCAGCAAGGGGGACAAGCCCTCCATCTAGGAGGAGCTTTGGTTCAGGAAGTGCTGAAAGAACTCCTGAGTCTTCCTCTTCTCAGCAAGATCCTGCTTTGCAGGTGACTTCAGAAGCAAGGAGGCAAAAATGGTGGCTACACATAAAGAAAATATATTGTTCATATTACACAGTATAGAGAAATCATTCATAAAAACATAGTGTCTGTAATAATTTTGACATTTCAAGGAATGTAACACAGAAAATTACACAAAATGTTTTAAATAGATACATTTCTTTTAACTGAAGTTCATTTTCCTGCTATACTTTAGTTCACAATCAACCTTTATTTGGTGGAACAGATTACCACAAAGGACATCTTTACACAAGTCCCCAGCTTTACACCGAGCAATAAAAAGGTCAAAAAGTAAAATGTTGCCTAAAGCACAAAGTAGTAATAACACATTTATAAACCAAAGGAACCGCTTGCTTCATTTTCTTACCCAGGATGCTGACATCTAATCGATTGATAGCAGAATTCTTCAAAAGCTCACGGAGAAAGGCAGCTAAATAGTTGAACACGTTTTTATGGCACTGAGGTAGCGTGGAAATAACCTAGACAAAAAATACAATACTTTTAACTTTTACAATTTAATGTAGGATTAGTAGAAATGGGTGACTAACTCCGTTCTTTTTTTTCCTTACTTGCTCACACTGGCTGGCACTGGTGCAGCATTCAAGGCAGCGTTGGTAAAATGAGTAGGGAACCACAGGCTCTGGGAGGGCATCTAGGAACAGAAGCAAAGCCTCTGCTACTGAGTGATTACTACCCGCTGCAGGTCAAGAGTAGCAGGGTCAAGGTAGCAAATTTTAAGAAAAAAAAATTCCATATCACATAAAAGTACAACATAAATTATACTCAACCCCCCCTCCCAAAACAAACAGTATCACATTCTAAGAGTCATTCAAAACAACATGTTTGCAATTACATGGATTAAACAGCAATACAGAGTATTCGAAAAATCAAGCTTATTAGCTTATTAGTTTCTGTAATAAGCTATGGTCATCTAAGGTCCCAACTTTCAGACCCAATTTAATTGCATTTAAATCCTGAACACTGAGTATTACAGGGCTGCTAAAACCCATCCAATATAGATTTAATGCTCTTAAGATAAAATAAAACATATGTACTGACTGTGCTCTTCAAATATTCTATAAGGACAAACAATATCTTTCTGCTAATTTTATTATAATTGTGAAAGGATACGGAGGGACTCTGGCATCCCTGTGTCAAGGCAATCCCTTATTTCAGCAAATTCAATCCGGAGTCCAGGTTGCTGAAATATGTCTTCCTGCAAATAGAGGACAATACATTCAGACTCGTTCTCTCATTATACACCACAGATTCCCTTCAGCTAAAGAAATTATTTGAAGCACAGTGGCTAATGCAGCAGAATAAATTCATTGCAAGGATCTTCATTCAGTCTATTTATCCTTAATCACAAAAGGCTGGCAGGAAGCCAAGTGTAGTGCAATTCACATGAAGTGGACACTATAAAACAAAGTAGGAGCATAGTATTGTTTGATTTTATTACAACACTATCAATTTTCTGACCTGTTTGACTGCATTGCGGAATAAGTGATCCACCATCATCCAAAGTTCTTTAGGAATGTCAAGAGGCTTTTCAGTGTTTGCTGCGTTCTCCTTTATAGGCAACTCTGCCTGATATTGGGAAAGAAAAAACAGAATGAAAGGCAGTTTAGTTAAAGCTTAATTAGTCTCCAATCCTCAAAACTACTATAATGAAGCCTCTGAGGCAACAATGAATACAATTGTGAGGCAACAACGAATACAATTGTGGGGCGACCGTGGCTCAGGGGGTTGGGAAGTGTATCTGTAACCGGAAGGTCGCCGGTTTGATCCTGGTCGTTGTGTCCTTGGGCAAGACACTTTACCCTACCGCCTACTGGTGTTGGCCAGAGGGGCTGATGGCGCGATATGGCAG